GCCTTGGAGGGACTTGGTATGTCTCGCTAGTTCAGAGCCGTATAAGTTTTAGAAATGGACAGGTTAGATCCCTAGCTATGGTAAGCTTGGGATTCCTCAGCAGATTGATTATGGAATGGTAGCAATGATTGGGATTTCTATTCATTGAGCAGCGAGGTATAAGCAGGATCGAAGTGGGGGAGAATCATCCGAGTGTACAAGGGTGAGAGCATGCAAATCCAGAACGAGTACGCGATTTCTGAGAAGGAAAAGAGGTATTTCAACGTTTGATGGATTGAGTAGTTCAGGGTGGGGAGTTTGAGAAACTCCCCATTAGTTCGTGCGTGTAAGGGTGATGGTGAGTATGTGGTTCGGAATTCGGGTTGAAGGATCGCCTATAGGACTCGTGTGAATCAAAATGAAGATCTTGAGGACAGATAGCATGAGATGCTTTCGTGTTAGTAGACAGTGGTAGAGGCAGCAGGTAGAGCATGGAAGAGCGACGAGAGAGCCTCAGCCTTCTTCAGCAGCGATCAGTGGTAGAAGGTGTTGTAAAACTACGGGGCAGCCGTAGCATTCACTAGCAGTTAGTGGTGGAAGGTGTTGTAAGACTACGGGGCAGCCGTAGCATTCACTAGCAGTTAGTAGTGGAAAGTATTGTCAGACTACAGGGTAGCCGTAGCATTCACTAGCAGGCGGCGTTAGAGGGTGATGTAAGACTGCGGGTAAGCCGTAGCATTCCGTAGTAGCTTCGTTGGCGGAGTCGGGGCGAGGCCCTTATCTCCTAGCATTCAGATAGGTATCAGGAATGGGTAATGGATGAGAATGATGAGAAGTTTGCTTGTATAGCCCTTGAGAGGTGAGACCTTGGGAGAGGCCGCTCTAGGATATAGTTGGGTGAGACCCGCGGGCGAGGCCTGTATGAGAGTAGCAGTGTAGATGAGACCTGAGAGCAGGATTTCTCAGTAGTATGGTTGGGTGAGACTCGTGGGCGAGGCCCGTGCGAGAGTAGCTATGCAAGTGAGACTAGAAGGATAGGGGCGGTTGAGACCCGTAGGCGAGGCCCGTGAGTTTTAGCAGCACAGGTGGGACCTGGTAGGGATCTTAGAGTCAAGATAGGGGATCGGGGATCCCAGGAAATTGTAGTGCCAGCATGGTAGAATAGATTGAGAAGTTATAGGTGGTTGAAGTTTCGTCGAAAGTCGCTGGGAGCGACTAGTAGTTGTGTTGGGTTAGCGATCGGTGGGATCCGGTAATCCAGATATTGATAGGTTGGTAGGGACCAGGGTGGTCTCAGTTCACCCGGAAGCCAGATAAGGAATAGCAGAATTTCCAGTCAGTAGCAGTGCGAGTACGCAGCGTATGGTGGAATTCAGTTAGTTGATCGTGGGGTGCTCGACACCAAATGATAGTAGAAAGAATGCCCAGTGGATACTGGCAATGATGACCCATACTGGGAGTAGCGGGAGTAATAGATTTGGTGAAGATAGGGTCTTCACAGTGGCAGAGGAAATAGATGGTTATGGAGCATTGCCTTGGGAAGGCAAGGAAACCGCGTAAGGAAAGAAGGGGTGAACCCTGTGGGTTCGGTTGCTGTACTCGGAGAGTACAAGAAGGATTGTCAGTGGATTAATTTGGGTTTCCAGAATGTTCAGGGTCAGGGTTGACCCGAGATTATTATCTGCAAGGATTGACGTTAGTCTGAATGACTGAGCAGAAGGCCAGAAAAGGTAGGCAGCTGGTGTTAGAATAATTGGTGGGGTATTGGAGGAGATCGCAGGCGGTGGATCATAGCAAACTTCGAGGACGAATTTAGTTTAAGTGGGGGAGAGTTGTAACACCCAAAGTCTGGAAGGCTAACAAAGGAAAGAAAACCCTAATTTTAAAGGGCGACTCGGCGAGTCCAAGGAGGAACTCGGCGAGTCCGAGCGGGATCCGGGTCGAGTAGTAAGTGACTGACTCGGCGAGTCGGCCAAGGGGACTCGGCGAGTCTGGTTTGTGCGAGGAAAACCCTAAATTTGGGACTTGGAGCCTATTTAAACGTCTCATTCTCTCCCCTAGGGTTCCTTTACTGCCTCTTTCACCCAGAACATCGAACCCTAAGCCCCATTGTTGCTCATTCAAGCTTCCAAGCCATTTTTTGGGTGATTTGAAGGAAGAAGAAGAAGGGGAATCATTGAAGCTTCAAGGATTGGCCTTAGATCTAAAGATTGGGGAAGCTTTCTGAGTTATTGAAGGTATTAAGTCGTTCTCTCCTTTAGATCTAGTATGGTTGTGAGTTTTGGGGGTTTTCTAGCCATGATTAATTACCTCTTTTGAGTTAGAAGCCAGATATGAAGTTGATACTTCAAATCTAAGCATATTATGGTCTTGAGAAGCATAAAGTATCAGCCCTTGAGTTGATTATGGAGCCTCTTTTCCTTAAACCCTAATGTATGGTGTATTTTGCCTAGATCTCCTTCTCTACACGTAAAGTTTGAAAATTTACGTGAGGAATAGGCTTGGGAAGGGTAGATCTACAGTTTTGAGTCCATGCATGACTCAAAAGTCCTCTACATGTAAGGAGATCTGAATGGGCTCGGCGAGTCCTTTGAGTGGACTCGGCGAGTAGCATGAAGAGCAGGAGCAACTCGATGAGTGGGATGAACAGCTCGTCGAGTCAGATGAAGATTGCCTTGTACTCGGCGAGTCAGGTTGCGAAACCCCACACCCTTCGAGTTGAGACTCGAATTAGTGAGTCGAGTGGAGACTCGGTGAGTTGGTCAGGTCAGGACTCAGAAATAGGTAGACTCGGCGAGTCATGGACTGACTCGGCGAGTCGAGACGCGAAAGGAAGGACTCTGAATATATGAACTCGGCGAGTCAGTAGGTTGACACAGCGAGTAGGGTTGACCTTGACCAGGACTTTGACTTTGCCCAGAGTTGACTTGATTGTCTCTCGGGGGTCAGTTAGACTCAGTGTTGCTTTGATATTGGTAGTTCGAGGAGCAAGGGGAGCAGGAGTTCAGAGAGTTGCCAGGCAGCAGCTAGTGAGATCATCAGCAAGTTCAGCCAGTGCAGGTGAGTTTCCCTTTATGTGAATGGGTCTAAGGCCACAATGTCGGCCCATGTAGTTATGATGAAGACCTGGGGGTTAGCCCTAGGCACAGTATGCTAGTATGATATTCAGGACGAGGTCCATTAATAGTGGGCGGGTGCCCATGTATTTGTTTATATGATAGTTTATACTTGTTGTCTGTGTGATACATGTATGTGCCTGGTAGGGAGGTGAGTGTGGGCGAGGTCCCGTATCTCACCAATAGCATAGTGTGGATAGGGTTCCATATCTCATTAGTAGCAGAACAGGGTCGAGACCCAAGTTAGGGAAGGAGTGAGAGTGGGTTGGGCCCGTATCTCACTACCAGTAGGATCGTGGACGGGGTTCCATGGCTCATCAGTAGCAGGACAGGGGCGAGGCCCAGGATAGGCGAGGCCTTAGGACAAGATCAGTTGTATGAGTTTAGCTTATGTGTTGTGATATGTTTATGTGTTATTATTTGTTGGCGGGCGAGGCCCTGTGACAGGCGAGACCTAAGTGAAACAGATCTATATCCGAGCGGGGCTCGAAGCCAGGAGGGGTCTGGAGCGGCGGGGCCGTTATAGCGGGCGAGGCCCGAGGCAGGGGGCGAGGCCCAAGATAGCGGGCGTGGCCCAGTATGTGCAGTATGTGGTTATGCATGGTATGTGGTAGGGTGGGGAACTCACTAAGCTTCGTGCTTACGGTTTCTAGTTTTGGTTTCAGGTACTTCCATTAGCGGAGGGAAGAGCTCGGGGTGATCGCATGGTATACACCATAGATTAGACAGCCTGGGAATGTTTACTCTGATAATGAACATGTGTTTTGAAAATTAATACTCTGATTATGTTTTGGAATGATGACTTTGCTTAAAGTAATGTTTTATTAAAAGAAATTTTTGATCTTGAATTTTGGGTCGTTACACTCTTGTTTATGTATGTTCACTTCGACTCACCCCATTCCATATTTTGACTCATTCTGCATGTACTTATTTTCACACATGCTGAAAATCATCAATATGTCAATCATTTTCCTTGAATACATGTCTCACGATATTTACTCCATTTTAAGGTGATCCCAAGTAGGGCCTGCAGAGGTGATAAATTGGGTAGTCGTGACATATTTTTAGTGGACATGTCACGACACAATAATTTTTGTATGATGCGAACACAACATAACACAATTTTGTGTTTTGTTTTTACTAACACGAAAACGATCAAATTAAAACACGATAAAAACGATCAGCACAGCAAACGCGAAAAGATAATACAAAGTAAACACTTTAATTTATTTAATTCAAAATTAATGTTACAAAACATGACAAACATGAAAAACACAACAAACAAATGTTAATATAGTATCAGTTTTATATCGAATTTTGAAAACAATAATGACATGACATGATGTCATATTTTTTTACTTGACTTGAATACGACAAAAAAAAAAAAAAAAAAAATCCAAATTTCAATTTTTAACGTATCATATAATTGATTTATTACCCGTAATTTCGTAATTATAAGCTTTGCACTGTAACTAAACATAAAGTCACCAAGAAGCATCAATTGTTTACGTCTAGTTACGAGTTTAAGAAAAGAAAGTCAGGAGATAAAAAAATAAAATAAAACAAAGAACAAGAAAATATTTTTTTAAATTGTCCAGTTATGGAGTTAATCATTTGTTATTTCTTTTCAACTTCTTTCAAATCGAAAAGAAATTCATAAAGGAAAGTAATCATTTTATTTTCTTCTATTTCTTTTTACTTTATTATTTTAATGAAACAGTAAAAAAGCACTAATTTATTTTACTCATTTTTTATTTTTTATGTATTTATTATTATTTTTTTTAACTCGGGAACATGGGTGTCATAGTAAAAAGTAAAAACGCTACGCCGATTAGATCAGCACACGTGGGCGTTGAATTGTCCCCAAATAAATACGGGTTCCATTAGAACACACCAAATCCAACAGAAGAAGCAGACGACTGTAACTTAGAGGAAAAGGAAGCGAACGTAAGAGATGAAGGGTTCGACGGAGACGAAGTTCTTGCAGGAACTAGTGCTGTATGCCGCCAGCGCCGCCCTCAGTTGCCTGGTGCTGTTCGCCGGCCTCAAACACCTCGATCCTAATCGAGAATCTTCGAAGAAAGCCCTTGAACAGAAGAAAGAAATCTCCAAGCGCTTAGGTCGCCCCCTTATTCATACAAATCCCTACGAGGTATGTAATTCGTTTATACGCTTACAATCGACTAATTCACTCTCTTTGAAGATTTTACACTCTCTGATTGACGATTTTAATCTACATAGAACTCAAACATAGTCGTCTGCTCATAGTTTCTGAAAATTTGTTTTTTTTACTGGTTTCATGTTTGTAACAAGTGCCACTACGAATTAGGGTTGGGGATTAAATTGCTACAAAGCCCATCGCTATTTGACGATTGAAATTGTGCGCCTCTTTGAATTGACGGAGGAAGTTAAGAAGTATATTAGGGTTTAATGATAAAGTTGTTGCTCTGATGCTCTGCTAATACAAGCGATTGTACTACGAGTCTTGCATAAAAGCACTGGTTAATTGCTTAAGATTAGGGGTTCCTAAATCGTGGAACATTCTAGGCTTCTCCTTGCAAACAAACCATCAATCTTGCAAAAATGCAAAAGAAGCACCATGTGCCTCTACTTTATTGATCTTTCTGGATTTGCTTTTGCTACAGTTTGCTAAAAGTTGCATATGCCTAATAACTTGTTTTTATCATTGTTTGCTAATAACAGGATGTGATTGCATGCAACGTGATAAACCCTGATCACATTGGCGTTGAATTTGACTCCATTGGAGGGCTGGAAACCATCAAACAATCACTTTATGAACTGGTGATATTACCTCTACGTAGGCCTGAGCTTTTCTCCTATGGAAAACTCCTCGGCCCCCAAAAAGGCGTTCTTTTATATGGCCCACCAGGTACAGGGAAAACCATGCTTGCAAAAGCTATTGCCAAAGAATCTGGTGCTGTTTTCATCAATGTCAGAATATCAGATCTCATGAGCAAATGGTTCGGAGATGCACAAAAACTCGGTCAGTTTTCTGATGTTTTTCTCTTATTTAGAAAAACAAAATCTTTTGTATTAATCATATTTGGTTTTTCTTTTTTGTTATGCAGTTGCTGCAGTGTTTAGTTTGGCTTACAAACTCCAACCTGCTATAATATTTATCGATGAGGTGGATAGTTTTCTCGGTCAACGCCGGACTACAGACCATGAAGCATTGACCAATATGAAGACCGAGTTTATGGCTTTATGGGATGGTTTCACTACAGATCGTAAGTTTCCTTTTCAAAACTCGGATATAGTAATTAAAAAGCCAATTTCAATATTATAACTAATATTTAATTTATATAGATAATGCTCGAGTGATGGTTCTTGCTGCAACAAACCGGCCTTCCGAGCTGGATGAAGCAATACTGAGACGACTTCCACAGGCATTTGAGATTGGGATACCTGATCGCAAAGAAAGGGCTCAGATATTAAAGGTGGTTTTGAAAGGTGAAAGAGTAGATGACCAAATTAACCTCGACTCCATAGCTGCATTGTGTGAAGGTTACACCGGTTCAGATCTTCTAGAGCTCTGCAAACAAGCTGCCTATTTCCCCATCAGGGATCTTCTAGATGATGAGAAGAAAGGAATTAAAACAAATGTTAGTATCCTTTCCCTTTTCCTTTTGTTTGAATACAACTACAAGTGTGTTTTGTTGATGTTAATTGTATTATAGGGGCCAAGGGCATTATCACAAGCGGATTTGGAGAAGGTGGTGCTTACAACAAAGAAGACAAGGGTTGCAGCAAGTGAGTATAGTGGTTTGAGCAGCTCACAATCAGAAGTGTGGTCAGTGCCAAGGGAAACGGATGATTATCAAGCTGCCATTAGTGAGCTTTCCAAGATTGTTGTCTCGCAGATTATGAATATTAGAGCAGAAAACCAAGATCGTGATTGAAGATCAATTCATATTCTCTCTCAATTTTGATTAGTCAGGATTTATATGTCGTATTATGGTATGATGTACAATATACTTATGCGAAAAGTTATCTTATTACCACATGCTTTTGGTTTTTGTTTAGTTTGATTATGTAACTTTCAGTGCTAAGTTATTGTTTTTTTTTTTTTTCCTGAATTCTGTATCAGTTTTTTAATGACAGAATCTGTGATGGGTTTGTTTATTTGACTTGATCCATGCATTGCATGCTTTCAACTTCAAGAATATGACAAATGTTCACCAACTTTGATAAGTTGGACTTATTATTTTATATGATACTAACAACTAACACGGTTTAGAAAGAGAAGATTAAAAAAAGGCGACTGTTAACATAATTCTTTGTTTTTACTAGCAGGACTTGTTGACCCACTATCTTTGAACATATACTAGTCGGACCAACTCCTCTTATCCGTGTGAAAAACTGGTTATATTTTTCTGATAGAGCTTTATTAGTTTATAAATTTGTTAATAATATTGTACTCCTGTTAAATAGATATTTATTTATCTGAGGTTTTTACATTTTTAGTTGATATTGAAGTTATACAAAAAGTTGAGCATAATCTTTTAACATGGCGATTGCTCTCATTACATTTTGGTGATTCTCTTATATTTGTATATGTGTGTCAAGTGAGTGAATTAGTAACAAAACTTTAAACCAAACATATATAAACATGTAAGACTATGAGTTGTGATTACTAGAAAAGTGATGTCACATATGCACCATATCATATTGTTTACTTTTATTATTATTATTGTTTTGTTGTTTTTTTTATTTAAATTAAAATTAAAAAAAAAACATAATTAATAAACATAATTAAATGTTTCACATTAAATAAAAACACATTACATAACTTAAATTATTAAAAAAACATATAAACATAAAATTTCAAACTTAAATTACTAAAAAACATAAAAACATAAAAATTTAAACGTTAAAACCTAATTTCCATACTTTTCCCGAACTTGTTGTTCGATTTTCATAAATGCGTCTAGATTTTCTGGATCGATATCCGGTTGAGGCTTCTTGTTTAAAATTTGAAGATCGGTAAGTGCTTATTTCCGGCGCCAAGCTTCCTCCGTTGTTTCATATATATATATATATATATATATATATATATATATATATATATATATATATATATATTTGTAAAAAACTTGGAGATTTGTCAATTCTTTCTGCAAGTACGTCTCCGTTACTCGCTTTTCCGCTTGAAAACGCCGCATCTTTCCCTTTATCCCTTCCTGGTGGTCGACGAAATTAGACTTCCAGTGGACCCTCTCCTTCGGTGCCATCGAAGTCGTTATTGAGGTCGACACCAAAACCCACATCCGACTCGGAAGTTCTTGCCCTTTTGTTGAAGCCGGTGGTCAATTCCGAATGCGAAGTCTCCGGGTTAAGGACCCATTTTGGACCCTTACGACAAATTTTCCATGTTTTTTGGTGACCGAACGCTTTACCGTTGTTGGTAACCTTATATTGTTGGCAAGCTATTGATAAACTGAAATCGTTGCTACCACTTTTATGAATATTTTTCAGATTTTCAAATATGTCGTTAAACTTGGTGCAAGTCGTTCGTAGTTCACACCATTTTATATTGACCGTGTCGTACAGGTTTGCCTTCCCAAAAGCGAATGAAAGTGATCTAAACCACGAAGCCAAAAACTGTTTCCCGTTTGCACATTCTCCATCCAAGCTTTAGCTAAAGCTTCCTCCTTATCTTCGATCTAAGTCGTTTCTCTTTAATTTATTTGTAGTTTTTCCTTTTGCTTTCCTTCTCCTAGATGCTTGTGTTTCTTCAACTCGGTCGTCGTCGTCATTGTCCAAGTTTATAAGTGGGGATTGAGAAAAAATGAATTGAGATTGTTTGTGTTTGGAATTGTTGAGGTTGAAATTGTTGAAAACCTTAGAAGTGGGGTTGATTGAATTGTTGTGGTCTTTGTTGTTGGAAGTAGTTTGGTTGATATAGAATGTTTGTAAATAGAAGTTGTTGGATTGGGGATGTTAACATTTAAATGTAACATTGATATTGATCATTTTTAGTGATTGGGGTTGAGGTGTTCGGAGTGGTTGGGGAGTTTTGATTTTGCTCCTAATTTTTTAAGGAAAAAATGAGATAGTTGAAAGATATGTAAATGATTTTGTGGTGTTAAATGGTGTAAAAATGTTTGGTATTTATATGGTTTTTAGTAAGGTTAAAAAGTTAAATTTCTTTTTTAAATTTCTAACATGTAAAAAATTGATCGGTTGCAACAAATGAATATGATTGGTCGTAACAACCCGTAATTGACATCAATTCACACCACGCTTACAGACATGTGGGACGGTGTTCACGTGTAAACACCCCCGCCACGTCACCCTCTACGCATAAAAAACCCTCCCATACCCTTCAGCCTAAGGTCTCAACGGAAAACACTCGGTTTTGTATATCTTCGTCTCTTAGATCTTATTTTTATTATTTGCTATTATTATTATTACCACTAAAAAATGTAAACATTTCAAAATAAATAGATGACCTCTTTTATTTTATGTAAGATATATTGTAAGCATTCTCTCATAAATATCAAGAAAATTATTATTAATATACTATAAAAAAACTTGAAGCATTTACTTCAATCTTCAACATATTGACAAAAGTCACAAAACCAAATTTTCAACGTTAGCCATCAGTTTGACTTTGACCAACGACATACACATTTTATCCAACCCAAAGTTTTGATAATAGTAAATATATAATTTTTCCGTTTTGACCGTAGAAAACAATGTTACTAAATCCATATTAAATCCATAATACTATAATAGCGTCTTCGTAATGGATCATATTTATCTTATATAACTTTTGTATAACCTTTATTTACTTCAGCAAAATAACTCTCCTTTACTTGCTGCTTAACCGAGTTGAACCCTAAAGTCTATTGTGGTTAGACTCATGGACAAAATATAGAATAGAAAATTACGTATTTCTTAATTAAGTGAAGCTGATAAAAAATATCGATAATACTTGTGGCATATTGAATCGGGTCGAGGCAGTAAAAACAACCAGTTTTAAAAAAAAAGAGGTTCAACGGACTGATCAAACGCAGTAAAAACCGGGTTATTTGACCCCTAAAGCCATATTTTTACAACTATTTCTGCAACCTTGTGGAAGTTGTGCACCTTTTCAAATTTTCAATAACCCTTCACCATTCATTTTTATATTTAATCAAACATTCTACATTCTACTTCTCTTTAGTCTTTATATGAGATGGATATGTTTTGATATCTTTAGTCTTTATATCCGATATGGATATGTTTTGATAAACATTCTACTTTGCAAATTTAAGTATAAATCTTCCACCATTTCTTTTATTTATTTGTTTCTTATATTGCGGGTAGGTCATAATTTTCTTTTCAAGGTAGATCATATATTATTTTTCTATATGACTATTAAATAAAATTTAAAAAAAAATAGGTGGGTCCTATGATTCATTTTGTTTTGTTTTTTTTTTTTTTTTTGAACGACTAATACAAATATATATTAAACTACTCCTAAATTATTCTACATATGTCTACAAGGAAACTTGAACCCTTGATCTCAATGAGGAAGAACAACATTGGATACCGCTGGACTAGGAGCCTTTTGGTATTCATCTTGATATATACTAGCCATGCTCTCATCAAATCGTCTGTAATGAATGTGTTAAATTATGCATTATATTTAAAATCCTCTTCAAATGAACACATAACTTTAATGTTACATATACTAAAACATCAAATTTGGTGTAATACCTGTGACAAAACTATTTTCTTTATCATTATTACATTTACATGATCTTTAAATTTGGATATATATATATATATATATATATATATATATATATATATATATATATATATATATATATATATATATATATATATAAAAAAGTAAGTTAACATAAATAATTTGTTAAAATACAAAAACCAAGTAGACAGTTGTAATTAAGAGATTATTATATACATCATTTTTGTGTAAAAATAATTATAATAATTGAGATGAATTATTGTATACTTCATTTTTTTCTTATAATATTCTATTACTTCTACAAAAATATACTCGGAATGTTATTTTTATATAAATTACGTAAAAGTTTAGACTTTTTGTCTCTCTTTATTGGTTTTTATCTCTCTTAAGAATCATAATTAGAGTTGTTTGATAATGGGAAAATTGCAATAAAGCCGTTAGTATTGGTCTTATAATCAATTTAATCTTTATACTTTTTTTATTCAATTAAGTCTCAAAAACCGGTAATTGTATTCAATTTAGAACTTTTAGCGGTCAACAGGTCATCCAACTTTTAAAAATTACATTTTTGATCCAGATTTCAAATTTTATTACAAATTTGGTCCAAAATTTACATTTTCGTCCCAGATTTTAAATTTTATTACAAATTTGTTCCAAATTTTTAGAATTATGTTATGAATTCATGCTAACTTTAGTTTTTTTACAACTTTTTTCTCAAAAAAAAATTCGAGTATGTTTTTTCTTTATAATATCATATTTATACAAAAAAAACATATTTTCCCATAAAAAATCTTATATTTTCTATATAAAACTTTTTTTTATTTTTTTTTGTATATGAAATACTTATTTATAAAATTACGTATTTATTTATCGTGTAGATGGTTTCATGAATTTTCTCATACATAGCATTTTAGCATTTTTTTCTGAAAACAATTTAAATCAGTTGATTGAATCTATTTATATATGAAAATTATTTTGAGTTTGCAATTTAGTTTTTTATATTAATTACAGATAACTATTAAGAAAAAATAATTAAGAAAAAAATTATTTTATGTTAAGAAAATTAGTTTATTTAAATATAATTTATGGTAGCAGTAAATATTTTATTCAAACATTCTTTGGAAATATCTACAAACCTTTTATCTTTTAAAAGATAAAAAACACTAAAAATGTAACGACCCAATTTTCACATCAATTTTTTTTTTTGTTTAAAAACGTTACTTTAGAAAATATTAATAACTAAAACATCATTCGATCATCCATAATATAAACTGAACCATGTCTGAAAACCAAAACATACAACTTATCAGAGTATCAATCCTAGAAAAGCTCGTAAATGCGAAAACCGGAGAGTGTGTGTGTGACATGCTGCTACCGCGCCGACTCTTTTCCCCTAGCTGAGGAG